CTCCTATGTAGCTTCTACCACCATTTTCAATATAGACATGTCTGAGAGTACCCCTCACCCCCGCAGCAGAGAGTGGCTACCCACCTACAACCATTTACACAGTGTGGAGGGCAGCCTATCATCTCCCAAATGGAGGAAGAAATGAGGACAATGTACAAGCCAAGTGCCTAGCTTCTGGGACTGAATGAGACATCAGGAAAAGAAGCTGGCGCTGTTGCCACGGCTGACTTTATATCGCCGTAACCAGGCAAGTAGCTTGCCTGAGTCAAGAAGTCTCATTTAACATTCTCAAGTGTGGGAGGGAGGGAGGCAAGAGCTGTCACACGGTTTTAGCTGCCACCCCTGCCTGCCCTGGCTGTGTGGTATGGGATCCACTGCACAGGAGAAGAGAAGCAGTCCACGTGGAAATTGTTAATAAGCCAGTGGCATGTCTGCACTCACCTTTAAGGAGGTGAGAAGGTCAGAAGCTCTTACTGTAAAGTTAGGAGTGATAGTGATGACTCCAAATACCATCCCTCCTCATAGCAGCTGCAAGGGGAGACCTGCACAAGTGTTCCAGGGCTGCTATGACAGACGAGGGGATGTAAAAAACAAATATCTACTCTCTTATAGTTCTGGAGGCAAAGAAATCACAAAACAAGGTGTTGACAGGACTGTGCTCCTTTGAGAGTTCCAGGGGAGGATCCCTCCTGCCTCTTTCAGCTTCTGGAGGCTGTTGGCATTCCTTGGCTTATTGTCTCATCACTCAAGTCTCTGCCTAGTCTTCATATGCATTCTGTATATGTGTCTTCTCTTCTGTCTCTTATAAGGATACCTGTGACAGGATTTAGGGTCCACCCAGGTAACCCAGGAAACTCTCATTTTGTGGTCTTTAACTTAATCACACCAGCAAAAAGGTCCTGTCATAAAATATCTTCTGGAGTCCATAGAACATACCCTTGACTTCATCTCCTTGACTATAATCTGTGCCTATAGAGGTCTGGATTTTAAAGATAAGTTAGCCAACTAATGTGAACATCAATCAGGCCAGGCACTCTGCCTTGTCTGAAGGACAAGAAAAGAAGTCTACAGTGGCTACTTTAGCCCTCGACCAGTGCCAGCTTCATGAATGAAGGTTCGAAACGTGAGAAATCTCTAGGGAGTTTTGAATTAAAGAGACAAGACCCTAATTACCTTTAAACCAGCTCCAGGACGGTTCCTCCTAACTCCAGCCTCCAGCCACCTATTGTGGTAGCGAGGTTTGTTAAAGAGGATAGCCAGAGAGAGAACACGCCAGGGAGTGGATTTTTATTGGGGAACAAAAAATTCTGGGGAAAATCCCATCCAAAAAATTAAGKGGGGCAGCATCCCAAGGTCAAGGGTGACGCTTGGGTCTTCGGGGTAGTGGCCAGACACGACTCTGCATGGACAAGCCCTCAGACCTGAGAAGGGGTGGGGAAAGCTCTGGACACAGGATGTGCCTAAGTGCCTCTCTACCAGCCAGGGAGGTAATTCAAATCATGTGTGAGGATGGCCTCCCATAGGCTACAGTGATGGTCCAAAGCCAGCCCCCAATCATTAGCAACCCCCTCTCTGCATCCACATGCTCAAGGGAGACATTGTGTCAGGTCCCATACAGCAGATGCAGTGTAATATATGGAAGGTAATCAGGATCTTCATGAATCAAAACAATATGCTTACTGATTTACAATATTATCTCAGATACAAGATCAGAAGACAAATCTGGCCCCAAAAAGTCACCAATAAATAAATAATTAAATAAAAAACACAGTAAGCCCTCAGCTCCCATAAATAGTAACATTCCTTAACACTCAACATTTACTATGCTGGGGCTATATGGTCAGGAATGGGGAGAGTCAGGCAGAGCTCTACACCCCAGTCAGAGGTGACCCCAGGTGCAGGTTGGGACCTAGCTGATGGGAGAGCCATTGCAAGAGGGTTATGCTCCACATGACTCCTTTTTCTGTAGACCCTGTTTAGTACGAGAAACCAGATGGCCAGGTTGAGAGAAACCTATAATACAGTCAGAAACTGAAGGCCCAAGGGCCCTCTGTTGGGCCACTGGTGCAAGTTCTGTAGTTCAAAGTGAAACTATGATAGAAATATAATGCTATCCACTGACAGTAACAGCCTTCCCCCAGGAAAGGAGCCCTCTAGGATCAGGCAGGTGTGGCTTCATGGCCTACCTCCACCCCTGGACATCTACTTACCATCTTAGAATCTCAATATCATAACCTGTAAAACGAGTTTGCAAAGCGCCAAACAGCATTGTAAGGCACCTCACCTGAATCCTGGTCAGCAACATGTTCAATAAATGATGACCATTAGTATTAGAAATTAATGCTTTGGGATCTGACCATATCTTATTCCATTTGTATTTGTACACACAAGTTTACAAGACACTCAAAAAAAGTAACATGGCTTTGAAATATCCGTGAAGAAGTCAGAGTCACCTCTAGCAATGAAAACCCTTAAGAGGTGAGCAATATTGTAATAATCATATTTTACAGAAATAATGTAAAGTAAAAGGAATCTCTGGCAGATTATAACTCCAACAGGTTTTGAATATCATGGCTATGGGCTTAGAGACCAGTCACAAATGTYGGTCATAACTGTCACAGGTGAGGAAGTTATCAGCTTCAAAGTGCAGTAGACCATGTGAGGAGGGCTTGCCAAGGGATCCCCACTCACAGAGGGACTACTCAGAATACTGAGACCTTCCCCACACTCTGCACTGAAAATTTGCATGTATTAGAAAACTTGAAAGGGGAAGACCTGCTCTGAATGTAGGCAACACCATCCGGTAGGCTGGGGCCCAGATGGAAAAAGAAGAAAGGTTGTTGAAAGTTCAACAACCAAAGGCAGGAGGCAGGGCTGCTCCAGACAGTACATTGGGATAGAGGCCCTAGGGTCACAAAGACCCAGTGTGGTTCAGGTGGCCAGTACAGTCAGTGTGTTGCTCACATTCTTAAACCTCAATAACTGTGCAAAGCCCGAGTGAAGTACAGGCTGTGAGGATACTTGAATGTCAAACAGGACTCAACAGAAAGGAGTCAGTGGTGTTCACAGGAGGCTGCAGCCTGCAGCTATCTCAGTACTGCCTTGATACCCAGGTTTTATATGGTTTGGTATAGGGATAAGGGACTAAGATGCCAGGATGATAAGAGCTCTAAGGGTTCTCCAGAGAGACAAAACCAAACCGCTGTGTATGTGTGTTTGGGGGGGGGGTGTTTTCATTTATTTGATTGTCTCACATGATAACAGAGGCTAAAAAGTTCCATCTGCATTCTGGAAAGCCAGGGAAGCTAAAGTTACTTAGTACAAGAAACCAGATGCCCAGGTTGAGAGAAACCTATGATACAGTCAGAGACTGAAGGCCCAAGGGCCTCTGTTGGGCCACTGGTGCAAGTCCTGTAGTTCAAAGACCAAAGAACCTGGAGTTTGATGCCCAAGGGCAGGAAAAGTATGCCCACTCAGGAAGGAAGAGCCAGAGAGAAAGATGTTCTCCTTTCTTCCATCTGGGCCCCAGCCTACCGGATGGTGCTGCCTTCATTCAGAGCAGGTCTTCCTCTTTCAAGTTTTCTAACCAACATGCCAATTTTCTGAAATATATTCACAGACATATCTGTAAATATTTACCAGTTCTTACAAGCCAGTCAAGCTGATGCCCAAAGTCAACCTTTAAAGAGTCAACTGACACACTGTCACAGCACTCATGAACAGAAGAGCACTTTCTTCTTTCTGGCTGAATGCTACCTCAGCACAGGATGTGGGACAGAGTAAGATATAAAACAAAAATTGAACTACCTTGGCTTGTACAAGGCTGCCTGGAGCCCTGTGCCAGACCCCATGAGTATCACCTCTGTGAGCAGAGGTGTGCCGGGGTGCCTGGGAAAATCAGAACCAGGGACAGGCAAAGTCCAGTCCCACTGCTGGAAACTCTGCATATCTCACAAAGGACCTTAGGTGAGAGAGCAAGCCACAGCCCTGGCAGCACTGAGCACTTGCTATCTGTGCTTGGGTCAGTGGGTACCCCTACATAACCCACAATAAGCACCATTTTCCAGGTTTAATGATGAGATGGAGCTAGGACATTGACAGCACCTTCCCCACTTAGTCCCTGGACCATGTATTCCCTCTTAGCATGCAGGCAGCCAGGACAGAGTGCCTATGGGTCTGCAATGCTCTCTGCCCTGTTGACACCAGCCAGGATGGCCCAGAGAGGTCTACCACCACTGAGTACCTCTTACAGAAATTGAAAAGATCCTTGTTTCTTTTTTTACTGAATACTTTGCACATATAAAGAATATATTTGTATAAAACTTTGAGGTTTTTTTGGTTTGAAACTATATTTTTCTTTTCATCTCTACCATGCTCCACTTAAGCACCTCCATAGAAGGAAAGAAGAAACAAAAAGTTAGTTCAAAATACATCATGCACCAATTTTCCTGCAGGAAGCCTCTTTTTAGGTAGTATACACTCTCTGCTAGCAGGGATCAGAGTTGTCAGAGGYGACTTAGCAGCTGACATACCTGGCTCAGGTGTGCAGCCCAATTTGTGGGAGACTGTTAACTGATAACATTTGAATTTACCACTTAATTTGAATTTACAACTTAATTTCACTGTTCCAAAATTTAAGTCATGTTTTACCAGCTTTTGGGTGAGAATCACTTAGTCAAATAAACCTGTTTATCTGAATTTATTAGCTCTCACCCACTAGATTGGCATTTGGAAAAATTCAACCCACTTTTTTTTTTTTCAGTGTACTTGTTTTTGCGTTACATATACGGAATAACCAAGACCCTGAAGGCTGAGGCTGCAAATGGGAAGACCCACAAAGGTGCACTCTGAGCAGTAAGCAGAAATGCTCAAGAAATTCCATTTGCTCTGACTGCAAGAATGTCAAGATCTGGCTGTTGAAATGTAAAGACTGGGTCAAGGGGTATTACATCAAGTTCGAAACCTACCTGGCAGCTCTGCACACACATACCCACACTTACCAAAACACACTTCCCTGGCTCGAGGCTCCAGAGCGAACTCTCCGTGTTGATCTTGTGGGTGAGTTTCCCTTCCATGAGAACCCGCTCCCCGCTTTCTTCCAGCATGGCCACACGGATGGAGCCACTACTAAGGACCACTGAGACCTGGAACACAGAAGAAAATTATCTCACCTGTGAGGGTGGTCATTGGTGTGCTGTATGATGGAAAGACAATCATTTGCATACTATAACACTCATCAGCTTAACTAGGCATCTGTGTGAAGAAAGCCATTCCAGACTAATCCATACCCAGAGCTACCTGCACATTGTCAGTTCCTTCAGGCAAACACAGCAAAAAGTCTTTCTCAAACGACAACATCAGGTGCTATGTTGAAAGTTACTAGTTTTCTACCCAAGTCCCATTTACCTTCTCCAGTTAGGGAAACTGATTGTCAGGGTGGAAGGTAAGCAAAGGGGACAGGTGGTGGGTGTTTTCCCTGGCTTCCCTTGGAGGATATAGAAACTCAGCCCTGGACCACAGCATCCAGGACAGTTATACAGCCTTATGCCAGGACTGCTTGCTGTCATGCAAAAGACAAGCACAGCCTCTTTCTCTAAGTCGCTGCATAGCCTGTGACCAAAGGTCAGCCTTCACCTAGGACAATGAGTCCAGTTACTCTGGTTTGTATTTTGCCTTGGTTCTTTACAAAACCATGTTTTGAGAAGCCTTAGGTTATCCTCCTCCTTCTATGCATGTCCTGAGAAGAAACCAATTACATGCCTGCCTTGTCCTGGGCACACTTTTCCCTGTCCCACCACCTGTCTCCACACTTGATTGGGAACTACTGGGAACAGGTTCTCTTTACTTCACACCATGTAGCCCAGCCAACACTCTCCAAAGCAGAGTGAATGCCCACAAGAGGTCCTAGGATCAGCAATTGAAGGAGGAAAGAAAACAGAACTCTTCTTTGAATGTTACACTCACTCTTTTTAAATTCTAAAATCTACATGTTTTATCATGTAAAAATCCTTTTGTAAGAGTAAAGGCTGAGTATCTCTTGTCTGAAATGCTTGGGACCATAAGCATTTCCAATTTTGGAGTTTTTCAGATTTGGGGATATTTCTATAGACTTCAAGGATTTAGTATCCCTAATCTGAAAATCAGAAATATGAAATTTTTCTATTACAGATGTTCACCTATATTTGTACAATGTACATGTTAAATAGAAATTGGCAGAAAGTACTTTTGAAGCATTTTTCTAGTAAGTTTGTGGAATTACAACAGTTTAGAGACTATCTGGCAGTTGCTCATTAAAATGCTTAGAAAATGATTGAAAAAAAACCCCTCAAAATTACAGAATTTTCCAAGTGGAGTTTAGTATTTACAAATGAAATGATACTATGGCTTAAGTATAGTTCAAATACCCATGAATACAAAAGAAAGGGGAGTGACCATGTGCAGCAATTGCCCCATCAGATGCTTCTCAATGAAAGACTATGTGTACATTCAGGGGAGGAGGTGGCAAGAGCGCTGCCCCAGAGGACACAGGACCCCTGGGAAAACTCAGCCACAACATTCCACTTGTGTCAGGCTGCACTGCCAGTTTCAAGTACAGACTCAGAGAGGCATCCTCCCAAGAGGTCCCCTTGCACTAACCTCTCATACAAGTATTCACTGTAGAAAAGACTGTAACCTGTCAGCTCACACCAGAAAATCTTTCTCAACATAAGTACAACATCAGGTGCTATGGTGGAAATTACTGGTTTTCTACCCAAATCCCTCTACTATCTTCAATTAGGGAGACTTTCTCTCAGGCTAAGAAGGTGAGCAGAAGAGACAGGAAGTATGGGCTGGGGATGTGACTCAAGCGGTAACACGCTCGCCTGGCATGTGCGCGGCGGTGGGTTCGATCCTCAGCACCACATACAAATAAAGATGTTGTGTCCACTGAAAACTGAAAAATAAATATTAAAAAATTCTCTCTCTCTCTCTCTAAAAAAAAAAAAAAAAAAAAAGAGAGAGACAGGAAGTAGGTGTTTCCCCTGACCTCCCCAGAGGCTAAAGGAGCTCAGCCTAGACCATAGCACATGGGAGAGCTGCGGTCCTGTAGAGCAGAATCACACAGCACTGCCCACCTTCTAACAGCAAAAGAACATAAGAAAACATGATGAAGCTCAGCTCATTTCTGGATGAATCCTCATAAATCCTGCACCAAATCCAGTCTGTGAATTTCTGTGGGTGATGACCAGACCGCAGGTCAAGACTCCCTTAGTACTGGAGTCCCAAGCCCACTTTAACAAATAAATTCTCCTAGCAGCTTTACATGACATGATAATTTCCAACTCTGGGCAAGATTCTCACATGGCCTATCCAGGGGAATGAACTAAATCCTCAAGGGAAAAAAAATCAGACAAGATTTGCTCGTTGAAAATATCACACCTTGAAAAGATGGACATCACTCTGATCTGCAGCCTACAGAAATGACATTAACAAAGAACAAAATCTCAGTTAGTAAAAGGAGAAAAAGTGGGAGCTCCCATTTTTTTGAGATGTTAACAAATCTATGGAAAATAGAAAAAGGAATGGCAACACGCAATAGATCTACAGAGTCAGGGACAGCTAGGGTCTCCAGCTGGAAGTCAGCAGGCATGGAAGCAAAGGTGAGGTCAGGGACACAGGGGAATAGCTGGGAGCTAGCCCCAGGGAACAGGTGCACGCATGGAAGCCCTGCCAGGAGAGGCAGGATTCCACTGTTGGTCACAGAGCAAAGGATAGCCTTCTTTCAGAAATCGACCAGGTATCTGAGGAGCGTGATATGGATATGAATGCCCCAAGTGAAGTCCTATTCACTCAAGCACTGGGACACCCAAGGTCTCAAACCCTATAAAGCAAAGCTAAGTGGTCTACCACTCAGCTGTCATATGGTGGGAAGAACAGATCACTGACACACAACAGAGAAACTGTCAACACTGCCCCACATTCAAGAGAACAGGGAAAAAATTTAAAAGAAAAGAAACAAAAGATGCTGAAGATTCTGAGGGACAGAGTCAACTATAGAAGAAAAAGAAACAAGTTCAGCATCTGTAGATACAATTAATAAAAATAGGGTGAATATGTGGTGGGTAAATTACCTTTGCAAAATGGTATGGCATGTAATAGTACTTTCAAACTTCTGAAATTCAGTCTAAGCTGAATACTGAGCTATACAGTAAACAATGAATAAAATTCAAAAAAAGAAAAAGAAATAAAAGAACTATTAGGGGGCATTACAGCTTTTGAAACCAGCAGCATGAGTAGAAAAACTTAAAAACAAAGATTACAGAGCTAATTAGAAAAACATTTATTCAAATATTTCAATTTTATATCCTGACAAGATCTGAGAAGATACTGCATCAGTGGAGCCAGGATAAAATATGAAAAAAGAGCTAGTAGGGCTGGGGTTGTAGCTCAGTGGTAGAGCGCTTGCCTAGCATGTGTGAGGCATTAGGTTAGATTCTCAGTACCACATAAAAATAAATAATAAAATAAAGGTATTGGGCCCATCTACAACTAAAAAATAAATAATAAATAAAAAAGAGATAGTAAACCAAAAAGAAAGAACACAAGAATTAAAAACATAGTGGCTAAAATAAAAATTTCATTAGAAAGGCCATAGAGATATAGAGATCAATTTAAGCAATTAATTGGACATTTCAAAAATTATGACAATAATAAACAAATTTCCCTGGGCAGAAGAAAAATATGCCTTCAAATTGAAACGATCTACTGAGAGCTAAGCAGAACGAATGAAGAATAATTTAAATAAGATCATGTAATTTCATAACATTGAATGCTTTAAAAAAGGTCCTTAGAGTTCCAAAGTGGAAGAGACCAAGTTTACTCACAAAGAATCTGAAAGGATGAGACTTTGAAAATTAGTAACACTGGACATAAGAAGTGTCTTTTTTTTTTTTTTTTAAGTTGTAGGTACACACGATACCTTTATTTATTTCTATGTGGTGCTGAGGATCGAACCCAGTGCCTCACATGTGTTAAGCATGCACTCTACCACTGCGCTACACAGCTCCAGCCCCCAAAAGAAGCATCTTTAATCTTCCAATGGGAGAGCTATTTTAAGACAGAATTCTAAATGTGTTGAAATTATGAAATAAACAAAAGGTTAAAATATACACACTTTAAGACATATAAGAACTCTGAGGTCATTTGACTTGAATCCCATGCGCATTTTTTTTTAACTCTGTTACATATCACTTTGAGAAAAACAAAATGAGAATGAAAACGTAAAACAAAAAAGTCAACTGGACCCCCCAACCCCCCCCCCCCATAAAAACAAAAACAGTGCACTTAATCTAGAAGTATAGGATGGTAGCTAAATAGCAGAACTACAGAGAAATCAGTCAGACTGAAGTCAGAGGTAATAGTTTCAGGAAGAAGGTGATTTCCAGACAACACAGTATAATTGAGTCTGAGTAACTCTGAGGTTATGAGGAAAGTATACTACTTTTGACAAGATAAAAAGTGAGGTAAAAAGAAACTACAGGAAAATGAAAACAATGGAAAATTCCTAACCCAAAGGCACGTCAGTAAATCCAAAGGTATGTCAATAAAAATGACAAAGTAAATAACTCTTACAAATCTCTATCTTACATAAAAGCAACAAGAAAAATGGCAAAAATTATCTGAATCAATTTCTTATGAACTCTGGAAACTAACCAAAGGTTTGTGGGAACTCAAGAAATATCTAATCACAAAAAATGACCATACCCTAGTAAGAACAGTAAGCTCTGTGACATTTTAATTTGTGCCAGATGCATCCCTACCTGGCTCCTTGGCAGTTTGCATTCCTAGTGCATCCTAGCAGCCATCATAGGGAGTAAAACAAAGCTAGAGCTCTTTCAAAACTTTATTCCAACAAAGGCCATTTTTTGACTTGTCTGTTGACTCACTGGAAGACCTTGCTTGCAAGACTGTTTTCAACTAGACTGTTTTACCCTCAGGGAGTGTTTGTTGAGAACAATTATGGGCAAGTGTTTAACTTTCAAATTATTGAAAGTAGTGGATAACAACTGAGGCAAACAAAAGTCTGGGGAATAAAATATTCACACAGCTTTGAAAAACTGACATATTCCAGGACATCTAGAAGGACACATAAATGTGCAGAGCT